CATTGGAATGACCTGCATATGCTGGACATGCTGCCACACCAAAAAGCATAGCATGAAACTGTATGGCATGTCATGGCTGTACACCCTTGACCTCCACATGAAAGCCATTTGGCCTGGATGACACACATGACTCATGACGTGCGCACATCTTTGTCACAAGCATGAAAGAAAATGACATGACATGACATGACATGACAGTATTTGGCATGAGATGTCATGGTACATGACATGGTATGCCTCTTTGGCACAACAAAAAAGCCACTTGGGCTTGAAGACTCACATGTTTGCTGTTTGCAAATACTTTTTGACTCTTCGCATCTTCAAAAACTCAACCAATACTGCATGGCTGCAACCTCACCCCAACCAAGCACCAAGCTCAACAAGCTCAACAAAGAAACAAAAGCTCACATGTTGACATCAGCAACCCAACACTGATACATGAATACATTTGGTTGGTATAGCACTATGTTGCATGCCCATGCATCTAGACTCTATATCATGCCCTCTTGGCTCTCTTTGCATCAGGCATTCTAGGATCACTTTTCTTTGTGACTTTCAAAGTCAATGGATCATGAGCAAGGATAGGGGCTGGATTGACCAAAATGGTAACCTCAATCTCTCCAAGCTCAGTCTTGAAGGTCAGAGTCTTCTCTTCCAAGTTGCCATCCTCAGCCCCTGTAGCACAAGCCCAATATGGTGCAAAGGTTCCTTTGATGGTTTGATCAGGATCTTCAGCTTTGGGAAGCTTGATAGGTTTCATGGCACTGATCCAAAAGCATGTCGCTTGAAATTTGCACTTTCCAAGCCTGACATTTGCAAGGTTGGGCTCTTTCAAGGACAGTGATGATGGTGCTTCTGGGCATGGAATGAGCTTCAAGCTCTTGGCCTTCATGTCCTTCTTGGCAAACACCACCATCTTGGGTTGCTTTTGAACAAGGATATCACCAACATCTACATCTTCTGTGTTGTACACCTCCATGAGGGCCAGAAAGCACTGACATTTCACTATCTCCTGGGAATTGGGTGATGGAAACAAGTTGCTGAGTTCATCATCACATAGAAGTACTGGTGGCTTGGACTTGGTACCCTTCACCTTTTCAACCAGTTCCTCAGCACTCATTTTGACAGTGGTCTTCTTGGATGGCTCCAACAGTGGGTAGAAGACAAACACAGCCTCAGTTGATGAAATACTCTCTAAAGTCCACACCCTGTTGTCAAAGTCTTTGAGGGTGTAGTGGCTGCCTGGCTCTAAGCCCAACTTTAGCTTGGCAATGAACATGCTGTCTTTCCCCTCATCCAATGAAATTGGAGTTTGTGAGGTGGTCTGTTTTTTGGCAGCTGAGGGTGAACTGGCACTTCCCAATTCTGCATGGCCCTTGGTCAACTCTTGGTTGAAGAGGTCTGAAATGTCTTTCAAGGAGTACTTCTTTCCTTCAGAGCCAGACTTCTCCTTCTTGAAGATCATTAAAGTGGCCCTGATTGCTGCAATGCCAAACACCTTGTAGACATCAGCTTTCTTCTTACCACTAGCAATTTGGGACAAAGCACTGTTCCATGCCATTTCCAAAAATGCCTCTACCTCAAGGATCATGGTGAGATTCTTGGGGGACTTGAGGCCAGTGATGTCACTCTTTGTCACTAGCTTAGCCACCCCATCAGTGCACTTACCCACAACCACATTGGTGACAATAATGGCACTTCTGATCATGGTGAAGAACTTGGACTTGGAAAGGTTCACCTCTGTCAAGGTATTCATGCACTCTTCACCAATGGTTGCATTCTCACCAAATGCCTTGCCCATGTGCGCCAAAAAGTCAACAAGACTTCCATCAGCTCCACCTGCAAATACCCACAAAAATGAACAGCCATGAATGAACACTCATGAACAAACTTTAACCATGAAAACCTCATGAACCAATGAATGCATGTGAGTAGTAACATGAGCATTCATGAGCAATGAGTGCCACTGGTGCAACACTCATGAAGAGTGCACGCATGCAATACAACATCAATAATTGCATGCCTCCATGCCTTTGCACATACCTCCCCACCATAGGTGCATAGCTCTTGATGGGGCCACCAAGGCAAAGTCCATCAGCAATTGCAGCAAAGTCATGCTTTCCATCTTTTGAACTTACATTCTTGACATGACTCACCACAGCTGACATGAGCTGGATTTCATTCTGTGCCTCATATGTGGCATTGGTGCTGTTACATGCAGCTTCAATCAATGCTGGGAGTTGGGGGAACTTGTCCTCCACAATGGACAAAATGATTGTCCAAGTCCACCCTGTCTGGACCATTTTCTGCAAAGAAGGATCCTTTGCAAACAGGTGGCTTCCCAAATGACCATCTTGGCTGGCCAACTTAGCTTGGGGGGTCCTGCAAGAGTTCTTGATGGATTTCATGAACTGAGTAGTGTGCCCTTTGCTGACTGTCATGAACCGCTCTGCACCAGAAGGAATGGCAAGGAGCCCTTCACTTGCAAGTGCAAGGTCCTTGGTAAACTTGATTTGTTCATCCTTCTTTGCTGCTGACATCTCAAAAGCAACAGACCCTGTCAGCTGGGAAAGGTCTGCACCCATGGCGCAGATCATAGACCCCTTGGCATGACAATTCCATGCATTTATGCCAAACCCTCCCCTGTTTGAGGGGTGCACCACAAACAGCTCTGGTGGCAGCTCTTGCTTGTATGCCAATCCATTTGACAAGAGTATTTTCTCAATTTGTGCCCATTTGTTGAGCAGCCCCAACCCTGAGAAGATGATGTTCTCCACATCCTCGATGACATCGCTGCTGATCATGGTGAAATCAGCAGAGCAAAACACAAATGCTACTTCAAACTCTGGTTTGTGCAAGAAACACTGCAATCAAATGGTTGACATGTCACACATGCATGCAATGCAGTGACAATGAGGTTTGGTGGGCAGCAATGAAACAATGTACATGAACCTCACAAGTGTTGAGCAGGCCATGATATGACATGAGCAGCCTTGCATATGCCAAATACAGGTGGTTGCAAGTGACAATTCAAACCACATGACAATTAAGTGGTTGCAAGTGTTCTCAATGCTGCATGATGCACATGGGTTACTACACAAAATGCATGTCAAAAGGCATTGCTGAAGCCTCAATAGGCCAAACAGAAACACATAACAATGACAAAACCCGTGCATGAAATGTTGCATGAATTATTGACCCAGGGCTTAAGGCATGCTTCTTTTCACACATCATACATCAGCTCATTACCAATCCATGGACATCAAGTCCAATATATGTACAATGACACCAGCTTGATACCTGGTGAAGCCCAGTTGATCTTCCAATCCTCTGGCAATGGTGATCCTGAACACTGTCGCAAATGGTTTCCCACACAAACTACTTATACATACTTTCATGATATGTTAAAACTTGATTTGAAAAACTCTTCTATATGCACAGTCCAAACCACCTTTCTTCCCAAAGGTTCTCATATTTGGCTGAGAGCCACCATGTACCATGCCAGAAGCCAATGCTAAAGCGAGGTTGTCCTTCATGCCACCTGCATTTTCATATGTGCTGGGAAGAGGGCAAGCAATGCCTCTTCAGATCTCAAGGGCCAATACTGCATGCTGGCAGACATTGGATCTGCATTGCCCATGGCTGAGTCCATGACAAACAATGACAAAGTGAAAGGCAGCTGCAACAAATATTGAGCACAGAATCTCACATGAACATGAACATTAACACATGTCAACCCACATGTCTCTACCCACACATGTCCATGACAACATGCACATGTAAACCTATACAAGCAACAAACACATGAACATGACAAATCACAACTAGCATGCATGCTCTCTACATGGTAAAGCCACCAGGCTTGGACATGACATGGTGACCAAAAAGTCAAAAAATGAAAGTGTGAAATTTCAAATGAACATTGCAAATCACAACTAAACATGCATGCTCTCTACAGGGTAAAGCCACCAGGCTTGGACATGACATGGCAAGAACCCACAATTAATGAAAATGCAACAATGAAAATGCAAAATTACTATGTGTACACTGTAGATTTTTCAAAAAACAAATCATATGCAAATACAACATATTTCAACTGAAACATATAACTTTTTCAATTCAAAAACATTCAAACATGTTGTGGTGAGACTTGGTGACCAAAAAGTCACCGACGCCACATTTTTCAGTCCTCGGAGAGCTTTACCAGCTAACCCTTAAGCTAAATGGTTAGCAAATCAGCTAACCACTTAGTAACAGGGTTTGTTGAAGTGGCTAACCTCTAACAAACAAGCTAAGAGGTTAGATAAACGATATAAAGTTTATAGAGGTTAGCCTCAAACCTAGAAGTGGTTAGAGAGGTTATAAACCATTACTAGAAGTTATAACCTACTTACTAGAGCTTATAACTAGCTTATTGGAACTTATCTAACCATTTATAACTCTTCTAACCAATAAGATCTTCGCGGGACATCCCAGTGGGCAGCTGCCCGTACCGCCCGTATATATTTGAACGACGGTTTAGCACAGTTAGCAGATCTCTCTCTGTCGAATTCATCCCTTGTTCCTTACCTGAACTTGTATCGCAAGAGCCCAACCCTTGAGCCAGCAGTGCCTTTAAGGCCCTGCAGATCAGGGGGACGTGGAGCCAAGAAGAACGGCAAGCCGAAAGGTTGAGTTTTGCATTTT